ACATCTGCATCCTGCATTTTATTGTCTTAGTTCAAATGTGATCTGAGACCCTAGGCACTCACTCCAGGGGCAGACAAACCCCCGTAAGCCAGTGAAGTTTCCCTTCTCTGAAATCTGACTGCAGGTGATGTCAAAGCTTGCCTATCACCTTTCCTGTTTGATGATCCGTCTCCACACCTGGACTTGGCGGTCCTCCTTGAAGACAAACTCATGGTCTATGGTACTGTGGGTCTAGTAGGTGCTCTCTATCTGTGTGGTTTTCCTTTACTATCCTGACAGTGTGTTATGAGGCTCTGGCTCCCTTTGTACCTTTGACTTGAACAGTTCAAGGTATTTCATAAAATTACTTTTCTTGTACTGGGTTTTAATAACAGCATGTAAAGATTCCATGAGAAAACACATTATTTTGTATTCTAAACTAAAAAAATAATAATAAAAGAATAGGGTATGTTTTGTATTGTATTCTAAGTCACAGCTTTTGCCCTGTGTGTAATGGGATGCTCAGCTCTTCCCATCTGTAGCTGATGAGGTTGGCAGTGTTGGAGCTATAGGCACCACAGATTGGACTGAATGGAGTATTTTAAGGGGAGGGGGAGTACCAGGTGGTGGTGCACGCCTTTAATCCCAGCACTTGGGAGGCAAAGGCAGGTGGATCTCCGAGTTCGAGGCCAGCCTGGTCTACAGAGTGAGATCCAGGACAGTCACCAAAACTATCTACTTGGACAGAAGGACAGAAAATAGAAACCATACTAACACACAGCTGAAGGGTTAGCCAGCTCATTATGGGATGGACTGTTAATTCATCAGAGGGTGGGGCAGGGGGAGGGGGAGGAGAAGGGGAGGGGGAGCAGGGCAGCAGGGGGAGTGGCCAACAGAGTATCCAGCATCCGGCATCCGGCATCCATTCCAAAAATCTTTGGTGCTCTGCAGATCAGCTCCTCCCCTGAATGGAGGAGGAGGAAGGGCAGGAAAAGGAAGAAAATCTGCTATACTTGGTCACCAGTTTGAAGTCTTTCCTTCTGAAGCTCTCTATAGCTACTTCCGACTAATGTATACCTCACCTCTGTGAGACACTTGAAGCCCATGCGGCTGTAGCGTACCTATAGGGTTGTTGTGGGTAAATACCTGACTAACCATCCCAAGAGAAGGGCCTCCCTAAAGGAGGCTTCCAGGGTAGGCTCATCCCAAAACAGAGGTGATGGGTCCCAAGAGGTGGCCAGGCTCTAGACATCTGGAAGGATGGCTTTAAGTTCTCTGTGGAACATTTTACTCATGTCCATGACATCCTCGGGGCACTGAGCTTCAGGTGTCTGCAGTGGTGATCAGCTCTGCTACACTTAAAAAACAAAATTGGTTTTTCAGCTCTCTGTCTCACTTCCAATACTCTGACTTCTAGGAATCACTCTCAACTAGCCTGCCTGTTCAGACTCTGCTTCTAGAGGCCAGACTAACAGTCCTCTGTGGAGAACTCCTTCTACAGAGCTACTAATGAGACACATCAAAAGGTGAGCAGACCAAGCAGAGAGGATGGAGGTAAGGTAGCAATAGGAAGCCAAAGACAGAAACAGGGCAATCACCAACAGAGCTGTCTCAAGGATGGGACCCTGTAGGAGGTCATCTGGGTAATGTCTGGGCCATGTCCAAGGCAGGGAGTGTGCTGCTTACAGGGTCAGGGCATTGGCAGAGCGCTGGCTGCAGGTGGATGGTAAGGATGACCGCTCAGCTGCTTAGCAATGCAGAGGCTGACACAGCAGTCACTCTGTGACCCGACCCTTGGCCTCTCAAAGTGGGGCAGCAAGGTGGGGGAGGTGCAGCGTGCTCAGGCAACCCAGGAGAAAGGATGCCAGCGTATGCTGAGGTCTGAGAAGTGAGCTGCTGGGAAGAGCGAGTGGAGAAGTCAGCGAGGTTACTGTCAGGCAGAAGGCAGAACAGAAGAGAGGACGGGCCAGGCAGGTCCAGCCTCCTGCGGAGTGCTCCGTGCTGCACTGAGAGCTTGACAATGAAGCTCGGCTTTCCCGGACTAGGGTGAGCTCATTAAGGGATGGAACCCGCATCCAACCTGCTCTTTTGCCTTCAGGAGCTCCACTGCCCTACAAAAATCTTCCGAAGTTTTTGTGTGACCAGAGGAGTAAAACATGCACTTGACCACAAGTCCTGATGTCCACACACAGTTCAATCTTCTCCTGCTCCAACCCCTTGTCAATAGAAGCTGGGAAAGATGTAGGAAAGTAAGGGCATCCCCCCTTTTGTTATTGCTTCTGGACTATCAGCAAGCTCCTCTAAAACAACCCCACTGACAGACACCGTGGTCTGTTCTGTTAATTATCAGCAGTTGCGTGAGCTCAGCCATCTCCATTGCCCCCATTAGGCATCATTGCTTCCATGATATTCCGCCTGGAATTCCCCTTGAGGAGTAGCTGGACACTAGACCCTCGCCCCAGCACCATGCCTATTTTAACTGCCTCTGTGGGGAACTGATATCATCAAAGCATGTGCTATTTGGATTAAAGGGACAGCAGTCCTTTATTTATTTTCCATTCAATTAGTACATACAGATGCTCTGACTTATAACATGATTTTGTCCTAATAAACTCAACATAAATTAACAATATCCTATTTCACAAAAGTGCATCTAAGGGGCAGAGCAGAGGGTTCGGGTGGCAAAGGGCTTGCAGTATAACTAGGATCTGAGTTTGGATCCCCAGAGCCCATGAACCTGCATGTGCCTGTAATCCCAGGCCTGGGAGGTAGAGACCTAAGGACCCCTACAGCTTTCAGACCAGCCAGATTCTGTAGCACGAATCTTAAAGGGTCTTATTAATAAAATCAAACCCAAGGCCAGTTATTGGGGTGAACGCTGGAAGATCAGAGAAGCAGAACAAGCCACAGCTTCCTCACCTCGCAATTCCTCATCTGATCCTGTTTCCTCAGACTGGAAGTCTCTGTGTCCTCATCCAAATGGATCTCAGCTGAACTGTTGCTCAAAATTCCAAAAGCTTAACCAGCCTTAGTTCCTGGTCCTCATGCCTTATATACCTTTCTGCTTTCCGCCATCACTTCCTGGGATTAAAGGCGTATGTCACTCTGCCTGGCTGTTTTTAGTGTGGCTTTAAACTCACAGAGATCCAGATAGATCTCTGCCTTTGGAATGCTAGGATTAAAGGTGTGTGTGCCACCATTTTCTGGCCTCTATGTCTATCTAGTGGTTGTTCTGTTCTCTGACCCCAGGTAAGTTTATTAGGGTGCACAATATTTTAGGGGACACAATATCACCACAAGGTTCAGTGATAAACACTGTCTGAAAAAAAGAAGGTGGAGAACGATTGAGGATGACACCAAATATCAGACTCTGGCTTTCACATATGCATGGGCACACACACATACACACACACACACACACACACACACACACACACACACACACACACACGCATGTACCAGCATGCATAGACACACAGATACATACACAGATGCAATGTAATTCACAGGTCTCTTTCACTATGATGCAGTATCTGAGATACACAGCCTAAA